CGTAGGTTCATATTCGATACAGTATTGAGTCTATTGACCCAGTACATGTGATGATAGACAGTATTGAGAACAGAGCAGGATCAACTGCCCGCATGACCAAACTCTCACTAGTGGCATGACAATGTATCGCTCCCATCTCCGTGAAAAAATAATTCCCACTTTTGTGGGGACCATGAAACATGTCTTTTTACAGGTAATTTTGATCAACAAAGCCACAGATTGGCATAGGGGAATGTGACAAGGGGAAGTACATGATAATAAAAGTTTAACTAAATATTAGACGATTTTGAATATCGACAGATTGGTATAGAAGGGGAATTAAATATTACAAGGGGAAGTACATCATAATAAAGATTTAACTGAATATTAGATGGTTATAAGGAAAATCAGAACATGTGGACTTGTGCTAAAGCGTAGGTTCATATTCGATACAGTATTGAGTCTATTGACCCAGTACATGTGATGATAGACAGTATTGAGAACAGAGCAGGATCAACTGCCCGCATGACCAAACTCTCACTAGTGGCATGACAATGTATCGCTCCCATCAGTAGGCATTACTCCTATTATACTGGGTTCACAACACTTTCACCCTTGAATAAAGTTCACAGCGTTAATCCAGCTCTAGATTGTGAAAAATTGAATACATTAACACACACTGCAATTATCACGAACATATTTCACAATGGTTGCAGTGTGTGTTTTGTTATATATATATATATATATATATAATCATCTTCTATAAGACATGCTTTAATATTCAATGCATAAAAAACTTCTGACAGTTTATGTGTGCGTCTTTTGAGCTTCTGATCGGTCTCTATATAGCTACATCGTAAGTACTTTGCCCAGACATGTAATATCAGGTTAATCATAAAGCACACACAAACACGCACTCACGCACACACGCACACTTGCCTAGGAGAAAAATAGTCTCCCCTGTCACAACATATAATAAAAATGCATGGATATATTAGTATGTATAGGTCTATGGTCAAAACGTACTGTAGTCACACTGTGGTTAGAATTGACACATCTGTTGTCCGAATAACGTGATTAATATAAGACGGTTGGCAAATACAAATTCTATTAACTAACATATAACATCATAGGCATTGTTTAAAATGCGCCTACACTAAAATGCACCCATATCAGCGCACGACTATGTAGTACAGTGTTTTAGCCAGACAATTAATTAAGTAAATCTTCAGGGACGGCCGGCGATGGACCCAGAAGACATTAGCTGCATACTTAAGAGTAGACATAAATTAACGTGACAGAAGGCATTCCAAAATGGTCATTAAGGGGGTACCCTCGGACGGTGGTCGCGACCGGGTCGTTGTACTCACGACCCTAGCCACTAACAAGGAAACAGGTCGGCCGACGATGGAGACAGATAAAAGACAGGGTTTTTGGTAGAAACGGGAGAGACGTCGACGTACAGCCGACTGGTATGTGTACAATGTTGCTATCCGTGTTTACAATAAAGCTATAGTTGTCACCGTTTACACAACCGTTACGTTCTACTGTCTACGAACCGATATTCCACTCTACAAATACACTGCAGAAAGTACACCATTTACGGATATCTATGTATAACATATGTATTAGATATACTCCACCTAGTCACATCCACTATATGCAACGCACGCACACACGCACATTATATATATATATATATATATATATATATAAGTTATAGTAATATATAATATAGCACACCTATATAACCACACACTACAGCATTATATATATTTATGAACAGTTTAACAGTTCAGCAGTATATATTTTGTTATTAATCACTCGCAGTTACATATATGACAGGAGTAGATAATAGGGAACTATTATCTACTCCTGTTATACTCCCTATTATCTACTCCTGATATATGGTCATATATAAACATATAGCTAAGGTTTTGCGAGACAAAAACATGCAAGTTTCTCTTATATCTTGTTTAATTTTATATCTAGTATATTACACATTCTATTATTCTATATTATCATATTTATATTAACACGCCTTTGTTTCCTGAAGTAATCATTGATTGATTAGACTGATAAAGCTATAATTGCATATATGGTAGTCATGAATCATATTACATATAATGTTTATCCTTTCTTACTAGTATTTCATCACCACACCATTTTTAATCGCCTCCAATTTATAGCACAATAGATGTATAGGAAAAACGTCAAAAAAAATCTCTAAAAAAATACAGTTCATATCAAGTTTTCAATATATTATTTACTTAATAGATTAGGGAAAAAATCCTAAGGATTAAATCCTAGATTAGGGAATTATTATCACTGGTTTTACATGTCTGGATGAAGTACTTAGCTAGATACAGAAAGATTAGCAATAGCTTGTGTAGACGAGCAGAGTAGAAAATATTGTATAGGAGAGAACTCGACTCTAGGAGAGAGATGCACGACTTCCAGCTGTAGATGGCAGCAGTGTAGATGGACACGCAAGAAGGATGTTCTCTACAGTTGCTGGGCTGTCAAATTGGAAGCTACCAGAAACTCCTTCCTGCTCTCTTGCCGCTCCGATGGCATTTTTAATTGCGAAGAAAACTGTTGAGGCCAGCAGCAACGGTGGTTCTCCAATCGCCTGCAAAAGAAACAGAAGAACTTTTTCAGAGAAGAAGAAAAACATAAACATCTTGTAATAGCTGCGCGTAATCTACGACGCACTTCTATTTATATTTATTTGTGTAGCACGTGGACAGTGGTGCATGTACACAATATACTAGAGCTATTCCAAGTGCCAATTATATTTGAGTGAAAATGTTTGCTACAAGTTGAAGTATACTTATTAAAATCGACACTCTTTAGAAGTTACATGAACAACAGATACATTCGTGTAACATACCTTTGATGAATATACAGCACGAGGGTTCTCCGAGTTACGCAGTAGTGCAACGTTAAACTCCACTGGTACATCACTGACACCTATACAGAACATGCAGAGACAACGTATGCACCAAAAGCATATACATTACGACAGGGTTTAACTGATCTAAAACATCAGCCCCTTCCCTCAATACTCCATTATTAGGTTTTGTCATGGGAACTCTGTTACTAATTAAAGCACAATATGGCTACCTGGTATTTTGTAGTTGCCAGCGTGACGAGTGCACAGGAAGCCATCTGCTGTGTATCGCAGCTCCTCTAGTGTCAGCAGTCCACAACCTTGAACAAAAGCACCCTCTATCTGCCCGATGTCTATAGTTGGATTCAGACTCTTCCCAACGTCCATCATGATATCTGTTCTCAGAATCTGTGCAACGAATATAAAAATACATCAAAGCATAGGAATGTTAGTTGCAGTTGGTTGCAAAGTTGCTGCTTGCACATAGTAGAGTATAGAAGACAGTAATGTATGCCAGCCAGGAATGAATAATTCCTCACTGACAGCACCTAATTAGCACTATGATCATTGACCTGCGATACTGCCGATCGAATGGCAGCGTAAAGAGAGTGAGGCCATGAGACTGGCAGAAGGGAGTTCAATTTGAATTGCAACAAGTGAGAGTGGCAGGAGATTGCATATTGGTGTAAGTATTATATTAATTAAAGTAATAGATTTGCATTGCCTGCTATGTTTAGCAAGATTTTCAGGAAGTCTCACAGCTATAGATCTAGAATATTACAAATATACATCTACTTCAAACAACCATGCAGTATACGCACGTACAACTAATCTTCCACCACGTACTACTTACTGTGACACTAGCAAAAGAATGTGTGTCAAAAATTCATGTGAAGTTATCACGTTAAGGGTGCATATATACCACGTGATTTCCTGTGATACAATCAACCTCCACGTGTGAGCAGGCAGCTCCGAAAGTGTGATAGGTGTAAGGATTGCCGGTGTGCGTGTCAAAGTCGTAACCCTCCGAGCCCTCTGGGACATAAAACCCTGTCGCTGAGAGGCTCACTCTGTCAAGGTAAGCTGATTCAACCTGCAAGAGAGAATACCCATTCAGCCCCACATGCACCCCACACATGCACCCCACACATGCACCCCACACATGCACCCCACACATGCATGAACACATTATATAGTTCAGCACTATTCTTGTCTTCTTCGCATAATTTCTTTGTAAATTCTATTCAACATTAATTGAGTCTTGTACATTTAAACCAGGGGTGTCAAACATACGGCCCGCAAGATGATTTGATCAGGCCCGCGACATGTAGAGCATAAATCTCTGAGTTAAATTTTAAACGCTTGTATACTCACCCAATCTTCCCACGAGCCACTTGGGTTCAGTCTCACGAATGGATCTATTCGCTCCCTGATGATCTCACACGCATTCTAAATAGGAAGACATGTTTGGAATAAGGTTTGCGCATTTTATGTGAATATGTGAGAAAATAATGAAATGAGCATTGTCATATAATGGATAAAGTGCTTCCCTCCCGTCCTCTGCCATTTTGACCTAATTACTTAATTCTTTAGGATTTCCGCATGCATAATAAAAATGCCGTAAGTGCAGCAAATTTCAATTTGTGCCCTCTATTGTTGACATCAGCAGACCAGTGGCGTAGCTAGGATTTTTTCAGTGGGGGGGCACTGGGGGTGCCTTACATTTTCGTGCGTGGGGGGCACAATATATAATTTTACTGAGATGTGGTTCGAACCCTCTTTCTTTGTATTATACTGTTCTAACGGCATTGTTTTAAATTCAATTTTTTTTCATCAAGCAATGATTTTTAGTGGGGGGGCACCTGGGGGCACGAAGATTTGTGGGGGGCACGTGCCCCCCAGCCCCCCCGTAGCTACGCCCCTGCAGGCAGACACCTGCAAGCACGGACAGCACGGACATATATGGACGATCTTCTTATTCTACAAACAACAAGTTATCAAAAACGGCTAAAAATATCGTACGAAAAAGAACAAGTGTAATATTACACGAAAATGAAAGTGTCAATGACACTATCGGGCGTAGCCAGGATTTTCAAAGTTGTAGGCACGACCAAAGATTCTAGAGGCGTTCACTCTACGATCTTTGGGCACGACTATCTGAGCGGAGCGCCACATCGGTTGCGCGGAGCGTACAAGAAAATTTTCGTTTTACAAACCCCCAGATTGGCCGGAAACGGCCCTTCCCGAGTGTTCATTCTGGTTCCGTGGCTCTTGCTAACTTGAGACACCTCATTCAATATCACTTTTAAAACCCAAAAACACAAACGAGTTAAAATAGTGTTACGAACGAGTTAAAATGTTAAAAAACTGACAAGATCGGATCCTAGTCTTTTTCGCGGGTAGAGTGTTGAATTGAAACTGGCACGCGATAGAAATGACAGCTTTTGTGTGTGTTAGTCTGGTGTTGTTTGTTTGTTTGTTTGTTTGTTGGTTTTGTTGTTGTTGTTGTTGTGGTTGTTGGTTGGTTTGTTTGTGGTGTTAGCTGTGTTAGTTGGGTTTAGAAAATTTTTGGTTTACAAACCCCCCAGATGGGCCGGAAACGGCCCTTCCCGAGTGTTCATTCTGGTTCCGCTGCATGGCCTCTGCTAACTTGAGACACCTCATTCAATATCACTTTTAAACCCAAAAAACACAACGAGTTAAAATAGTGTTACGAACGAGTTAAAATGTTTAAAAACTGACAAGACGGATCCTAGTCTTTTCGGCGGTAGGAGTTGTTAATGAAACGGCACGCCGATAGAAATGACAGCCCAGATGACAGAAGAATAGGTCACCTTTTAGCCATATTCTTGCTACGTTCATTTCAATAGTTTTACCTGCCTAGACTCTTAAATCTCGCAGCAAGCTTATGGATTTGTATATTAGGTGTTTTAAAAAAAAAGATAACTTAAATTGGCCAAAAAAAGTGTAGGCCCGGGCCTACAGTGCTACATACTGGCTACCGCCCCTGACTATATAGCTCACCTATGTGTGATAGAAAGGAGATGATATTTAAAATTTGGTAAGTGTTTCTTTTATGACAGACCAAAATGTGATCAAATGTCCTTATTCCCTGTTTTATACTAATCGAAATTTCACTGTTTTGTTTCAGGGTTAGTTTTGCGAAAAAAAATGTTTCAGATCTGAAAGTCTGAAATCTGGGCGAGGCCTAAATGATTGCCATATTGGTGTTCGATTATCGCGCAAATAAAAGCAGTAAAATATTCCAGTCGAATTACAGTAACAAAGAATCAAAAACACAATATTACACGTAGGTATGATTAGGTAGGTAGGCAGGTAGGTAAATTTTAACAAAATCGAATGAATCTAGATAGCCATTTCAGTTTTCCAAAAAGTGAGCGTGGCTCGAATGTAGGTCGCATTGGCGTGCTCCAAAATTAGGACGTTCAAATCCCTCCCATAGGAAGTAACTATATGAAAATTGAAAGATGTGGGTCAAACAGTTCATGAGTTATCGTTGACCGTAGCCAGACACTGAAGTGCATGCATAGTGAAATTGGCAAAATCTACCTAATTTGCATAATTAAAAAAAAATATTAAAACTCGCGTGATATGTTTTTTTGGCGGCCAGTCCTTATTCATTCACATACCAAAAATGAGCAAAATCCGTTGAACCTGAACTGACTTATGGCCATTTCCATTTTTGCCAATAAGTGGGCGTGGCTCGGGTGGAGGGGGCTCTAATAGCAAAAGCAGTTCAGTCCTTTGTTAACAGTCAACAAATCCATGTTTAACCCTCCTCTTGAGGATCAAAAGGTTATCAGACACTTACTCTTTGCACGTCAGCAGAAAGTAGAATTTCATGGTCCTTTCAATAAAGTGTATAAAACGGTAGGTAGCCGCTGAAACAAAAAAGTTTTGCACTCGGTTCTTAGACCATGTCCTCAAATGACTGCATATCTGACCTTTCCCCCACTGCCCTTTGACATGTGACCTCCATTTCGCGCTGCTGATGGGTTTCTTGCCCATCACACTATTCATCGAATATTATAAAGCGTTGGTCGAGCCGTTGAGATTTGTTGCCCCGCAATTCCGTATTTTCCTCCTTATAGCTTAAGTTAAGGGGGAAATATTCCCCTCCATTGACACATCTTGACCTTTGACCATTGACCTCCAAATACGACATCCCGAGTCCTTTTCGCAATCCCCCCCCCCGACGTCCCGAATATCGGTGACCGTACGTCGAAGCGGTTAAGATCTGTGCCCAACTGTTGACGGACGGACGACGGACGACGAAGCGGCAGGACACATCATGCGATTCTACAAGTAAACTAGAGCTGCATCGCGACTTTGTCAGCTGAGCTAAAAATTGACATTTCAATCATTGAACAACTCACCAGAACAGCACCGCCAAAAAACTCAGTGCCTGTACTTCCAGCCGTACTTGTGGCATTTGGAACTGTATCAGAACTTGTTTCATTGATGTGTATCTTATCAATGGGAATTTGAAGGGCTCTGCTGGCCACCTGTAAAGACATCATATACTTAATTAACCACCTATCGTAAATCACAAACATTACTGCATCACTTGAAAATAAGTGCCACTGTGAGATCACCTTAACAATTTGTAACGAAATTCGTGTACAAGTTTCTTATCAATAGCATATCGATATCCCTACTTATAGTACATATAAGAGGATAGATATGTTCACAAAAGTACCATGTTTATGGTATTACTATTTCAACTTCAATATACCTAGGGTCATAGCAGGTCACCTTTTGGCCAATTGTGGAGCATAGCATATTGGCATCTGTGTTGCTTTATTTTCTATAATTATATTTATTCATTCACCTTTACATTGGGATTATCGCGTAATAAGTACCTGTATCATTTTTGTGTAGAGGCCCTGACCCATCTCAATTCCTCCAGATGTAAGCAGCACTGAGCCATCCGTGTACACATGCACCAGTGCAGCTCCCTGAATCAAACACATTCGTCATACACGTTTATTGAATTTAAACAAAACATATCAGTTACACACAACCTGAGCACCACAATTCTAGTGCTGCCCAATCACATGGTCTCCTCTCAGCCACACATTATTTTCTTCTAACGAGCTATCCGTGTCCATGCAGATTACATGTCCTTCACTTTCAAATACAAGGTCACCAGCTAAATAATTTCTGTCACTCCAATTCCCGCTTTGCGACACAATTGCTTACTTGGTTCAAAATCTTTAGGAAGAAAGGCAATCCAAATAAGCAAGGCTGCAATGAAATTCCCTGCTTTCTTGAGCGATTTTTCCTGCAGAAATTAATGGCGGCATATATATACATACTCTTTCCATGAATTAAGCTCCACAGTTAATAATAAAAAGCCAAAAAGACTGAGACAGGGAGAGGGAAAACACACAGCTACAGAGTGTGCTAATTTAGTTGTTCATACTGGTGTTCCACAGCTGCAATCATTCGTAACAAGGAAATACGTGCACGGGCAGAGAATAATAGTGGCAGTAACATATATAGTGGTAGTAATAGAATTATATCAAGAGCTAACAAGAGCCGCAGAGCGGCTGAGCTCATCTGGGGTCTGTTGCTACGGTTATAAACTTCAGTCGTGCGTAGTGACAATTTGTTAGGCGCAGATATGCAGATACGCAGTTGCGTACACATCATTGTTAGGACACTCTCACTATCTCCCCCCCATGCGATTTTGGTTTATTTTATTAAATGATACTTGCCTTTCACTTCGAATTTGTGTCATAGATTCACAGCTATCTATTTTTATCTTAG